TTTTACTTAGCATAATGTCTAAAGAGGATCATCCATCCTATTCCTTATTGCCAAATAGTATTCCATAGTATGGATATAAATATTTTATTTATTGATTTATCAAGGGATGGACCTTGATTCTGTTTGGGTTTTAGCTTTTATGAATAATGTGGTTAATCAGCATTCATGAACAAGCTTTGCATCGACATATTTTAATTTCTCTTTGGTACATGCCTTAAGTAGAATTACTGGGTCATATGCTACCTCTATGCTTATCCTTTTGGGGAATTGCTAGACTGTTTTCCACATTGGTTGCACCTTTTTCATTCCCACCAGCCTTCTATGAGGGCTTCAGTTTCTCCACATCCTGGCAACACTTTTTATTATCTATCTTTTGATTATAGTCAGTGAGAGTGAAGTGATATCTCATTATGTTTGACATGTGCTTGTTTTCTAAAAGTGCTGAGAGTATTTTTCTTGTGCTTATCATCCATTGTATATTTTTCTTGGCAGAATTTCTATTGAAATTGCTTGTTCCTCTCTGTTTTGCTTGTTTGTCTTAGTATTGAGTCATATTTTAATATTTTTATTTTATTGTTGAGTTATATTTTTAAAAATATATTTTTTAAATGCCCCTTCATCAGACATATAACTTGTTCTCTTGTCCACAAGGAAGATGAGATTCATCCATTTTTTGGTAGATTAATATTAAAAGAATTTAAATTATATAACCAATGTGAAACCTGGTTTTCTTTTCCACCAGTTATTTCACAGTTGCTTTGAACTCTAAAAATTTAATGAGTAACCAATTAGTGCAAAGATCGTCTACATAAAAAAAAAAAAAAAACTGTTCAGGAGGAAACAGAAGGATTTCTTCTATGTTCTCAAAACAACCCCACATGGCCCTTGCCTTCAGCACAAGCAGTCCAGGCAGGGGTGAAGGGCCAACAGAGGACAGGAAAACTGATTTTGCTGTGATTCCAAGGGTAGCTGCCTCCTTTGTGGCCTGAGCTGCCTGAGGATGCCCCTTGCCACCAGACTGTCTGTCTGCTGATGACCAAGGCAACGAACTGCAGCTACTTCCTCGGGGGCTAAAATGGCTTCTTACAAGGCTAGGATTTCTTTTGTATATATATTTTTTCGTTATTACTGGACTTGAAGAGTCCCCTTTCTTTCCAGATGGCTGATGCACCTGGACAACAGGAAAAGCATACCTGGAGTCCAGGCAATGGTCATTTGTGTGCCTTTATCTAGTTGAAGTGCCAGACAAGGGCTGCGAGTTCTGCCTTCTGTGCTGAGGTTCCAGAAGGGAGGACTTCAGCCCTAATATCTGTTGATGGGTTATCACTGCATACCAAGCTCTCCATTGTCCCTGGTCCATAAAGCTGCTTCCATTGGTAAATATCTCTAGGTCTGGGTTTTCCTAGGAGTGCCTCAGTTAGATCCAGCTGGCTAGAATCAACTCATTCAATTACTTGTAAACTGCCATGCATATGTTCAGATGGCATTTGAGGAAGTAAGGTGTCAGGATTTAAGGCAGAGACTGCTCTCAGTGTTATATTTCGTGTATCCAAAAGGATGGTCTGATATCTCTCAAGCCTCCCAGAGGCCAGCCAGTATTCTCTTGTCTGTTCCAGTAAGGGGAGCACACAGTGGGGTGTGCAGAGTGCTGGGCTGGCCTATTGTAAACTTCTCTGCCTCTTGAGGCAGGTGACACGCGGCAGTAATAGCCTGAATGCAAGAAGGTCATCCATTTGTGACAATGTCCAATTGCTTTGAGAATTAATAAATGGGTATCTTAATATTTCTCAGGTGCTGAGTCAGCACTCCTAGACTCAGTCCTTGCTTCTTATGCACAAAAACTTCAAAAGGTTTTCCTATATCTGGGAGCACCAATGCTGGGGCACTCAACAGTTATTCCTAGATATTTAAGAAAGCCCTTTGGCCATCCCCAGTTCACTCTAACAGTTCATTATGTTAAGGCATTTTACAGAGGCTTAGCAATAAGTCCCAAGTTAGGAATCCAGATGTGACAGAAACTGGCCACGTCTCCGGGCCATGTCTCCGACTCCACAGCTGTTGTCAACTGAGAGATCTGGCTACTCTGCAAAGGGCCTCTGTCCAATCAGGGAGCAGGTTTCCCTGTCACTGGGACAACCTGAACCCATGATATTTAACTGAAGGCTGTAAAATCTTATCCTTTTTCTTGGATACATTAGATACAGCCAAGAACTGGATATACTTGGATACTTTGGATACAGCCAGGAAGTTTAGAGTTAG